GAAGGTAGTTGTGCTTTCTGGGTTCGAGTCCCACTGGTGGGTGTTGTCCAAAGATTGTTTATCTTCACTTGTGGTTTATGCAAGTATAGGCTTATAAGCTGGACACGAGTTCTCTCACATTGACAGTGGCTTGACGAAAAATGCAGACTGACCCCTCACTCATCTGGTGCCTTCGGGAGGTAGAGATGTTTGAGATATATATCTCGAACTATCTACTTCTTTTGTAAGGTCTGATGGCGTAGTGGGTTAAAGCATACTAGTTATGCCAGCTACTGGAAGGTAGTTGTGCTTTCTGGGTTCGAGTCCCACTGGTGGGTGTTGTCCAAAGATTGTTTATCTTCACTTGTGGTTTATGCAAGTATAGGCTTATAAGCTGGACACGAGTTCTCTCACATTGACAGTGGCTTGACGAAAAATGCAGACTGACCCCTCACTCATCTGGTGCCTTCGGGAGGTAGAGATGTTTGAGATATATATCTCGAACTATCTACTTCTTTTGTAAGGTCTGATGGCGTAGTGGGTTAAAGCATACTAGTTATGCCAGCTACTGGAAGGTAGTTGTGCTTTCTGGGTTCGAGTCCCACTGGTGGGTGTTGTCCAAAGATTGTTTATCTTCACTTGTGGTTTATGCAAGTATAGGCTTATAAGCTGGACACGAGTTCTCTCACATTGACAGTGGCTTGACGAAAAATGCAGACTGACCCCTCACTCATCTGGTGCCTTCGGGAGGTAGAGATGTTTGAGATATATATCTCGAACTATCTACTTCTTTTGTAAGGTCTGATGGCGTAGTGGGTTAAAGCATACTAGTTATGCCAGCTACTGGAAGGTAGTTGTGCTTTCTGGGTTCGAGTCCCACTGGTGGGTGTTGTCCAAAGATTGTTTATCTTCACTTGTGGTTTATGCAAGTATAGGCTTATAAGCTGGACACGAGTTCTCTCACATTGACAGTGGCTTGACGAAAAATGCAGACTGACCCCTCACTCATCTGGTGCCTTCGGGAGGTAGAGATGTTTGAGATATATATCTCGAACTATCTACTTCTTTTGTAAGGTCTGATGGCGTAGTGGGTTAAAGCATACTAGTTATGCCAGCTACTGGAAGGTAGTTGTGCTTTCTGGGTTCGAGTCCCACTGGTGGGTGTTGTCCAAAGATTGTTTATCTTCACTTGTGGTTTATGCAAGTATAGGCTTATAAGCTGGACACGAGTTCTCTCACATTGACAGTGGCTTGACGAAAAATGCAGACTGACCCCTCACTCATCTGGTGCCTTCGGGAGGTAGAGATGTTTGAGATATATATCTCGAACTATCTACTTCTTTTGTAAGGTCTGATGGCGTAGTGGGTTAAAGCATACTAGTTATGCCAGCTACTGGAAGGTAGTTGTGCTTTCTGGGTTCGAGTCCCACTGGTGGGTGTTGTCCAAAGATTGTATATATATATATATATATATATATATATATATAGAACCCTCTACAGCAGTCAAGCGTTGTATACATGTACACTTGCCCCCACGAAGGATGTAACCTTCAATCTAAGTACATAGGTATGACGTCGACCAAGCTGACAAGGCGTTTGACATGCCATCTTCAATCCGGTGCCCCTAGGAATCACATGAGACAAGCCCATGACATCACCCTAACAAGAGAAATGTTGAACAAGAATACTTGCATAATAGACAAAACCCAAGATGCAAGAAGATTACAAATTCTTGAAGCAATTCACATAAGAATAGAACAACCTACCATGAACACCCAAATCACGGAACTATTTACTCTACCCACCATGAGAGTAAGGACAAGACCAGAACATAACGATGCCAACACAGAAGACAGTGCCCAACATAACAGGCCAATTACACTGGATTAATCTTTGTATGTAGATAGGAGTTGCCTCGTATGGGCCAATAGGCCTTCTGCAGTTATCTCTATTCTTATGTTCTTATATTTCACCTCACATTTATCCCTTATGTATCCCCCCATGTTTTCACCTTTATTGTCTTATCACCTGACCCACTGCGGGTATAAAATCAACCAGCATTGTAAGATCTCTTCACTTGAGAATGAACCATGGAGGTTCGAATCGTTGTGCAAATTGTATAAATAAGTGTACTACATTCTATAGTAATTCACCACTTCTTTTCTTCACCTTAAAATTACGAAAATGAGTTTTGGAGAACTCCTATTTCAGCTAAGCCCTAATGCTAAGAAAATAGTTAGAGGGATAGAAGCCCTAAACCAGAAAATAATAAATACAGAATATGCGGTCATATTCAATGAAACATGTTTGAAAGAAAACCTGCTGCCAGTATACACCAATATATATATATATATATATATATATATATATATATATATATATATATATATATATATATATATATATATATATATATATATATATATATATATATATATATATATATATATATATATATATATATATATATATATATATATATATATATATATATATATATATATATATATATATATATATATATATATATATATATATATATATATATATATATATTATTATTAAATATGACCGAAAAAGTAAGATTAATAATTCTAACACGAATTTTCTCAATCTTTCGTACATTACGCTTCACTGTTGGAGGTAAATCAAAAATCAATTCTCCAAAATTCATTTTTATTTCTAGTCTGACGCGACACGGGCGCGTTTCGTAAAACTTATTACATTTTCAAAGACTTTAGTTCACAAATACACAACTGAATAGAACTTACGTATCTCCGGTTTTATATCTACATTTGAGTGAGGTGGAAGGGGTGATGTGGCATTAATACAAGACAGAACAAAATGTGGTATTAATAGGGTATTAATTTCATCAACACAAGATAGAACAAGAGTATTAATAGGGTATTAATTTCATCAACACAAGACAGAACACGAAACAATGGATATTGAATAGAAGTGTTTGTAGAAAGCTTTCTACAAACACTTCTATTCAATATCCATTGTTTCGTGTTCTGTCTTGTGTTGATGAAATTAATACCCTATTAATACTCTTGTTCTGTCTTGTGTTGAAATTAATACCCTATTAATGCCACATTGTGTTCTGTCTTGTGTTAATGCCACACCACCCCTTCCACCTCACTCAAATGTAGATATAAAACCGTAGATACGTAAGTTCTATTCAGTTGTGTATTTGTGAACTAAAGTCTTTGAAAATGTAATAAGTTTTACGAAACGCGCCCGTGTCGCGTCAGACTAGAAATAAAAATGAATTTTGGAGAATTGATTTTTGATTTACCTCCAACAGTGAAGCGTAATGTACGAAAGATTGAGAAAATTCGTGTTAGAATTATTAATCTTACTTTTTCGGTCATATTTAATAATATATGTCTACAGGAAAGACTGCTACCAAAATATACTAATATATATATATATATATATATATATATATATATATATATATATATATATATATATATATATATATATATATATATATATATATATATATATATATATATATATATATATATATATATATATATATATATATATATATATATACACATTAATAACACGATATAACAAGACATCTTAAACAATGTATTTATGCATGTAGGCGAGACTAGCATTTTAAAAACACTATATTCACCTTCTGTGACTGATTGTTCAATAAAGCACTGAACTACATGTATAACAGATCTCTAACCCTGTCCATAGAGGACAGAAAAAATGTATATATGCTGGTTAGTATATACATTGAAAATCTGTGGAAAATCTGAAAATAAATTAATAATAATAAAACAAAAATACCAGCCCTTAATGTATCTGGTCTATGATGTTCCAGAACCACACACTACCAGTCCTTCATGAACCTGGTCTATGATGTTCCACAACCACACACTACCAGTCCTTCATGAACCTGGTCTATGATGTTCCAGAACCACACACTACCAGTCCTTCATGAACCTGGTCTATGATGTTCCAGAACCACACACTACCAGTCCTTCATGAACCTGGTCTATGATGTTCCACAACCACACACTACCAGTCCTTCATGAACCTGGTCTATGATGATCCAGAACCACACACTACCAGTCCTTCATGAACCTGGTCTATGATGTTCCGGAACCACACACTACCAGTCCTTCATGAACCTGGTCTATGATGTTCCAGAACCACACACTACCAGTCCTTCATGAACCTGGTCTATGATGTTCCACAACCACACACTACCAGTCCTTCATGAACCTGGTCTATGATGTTCCAGAACCACACACTACCAGTCCTTCATGAACCTGGTCTATGATGTTCCAGAACCACACACTACCAGTCCTTCATGAACCTGGTCTATGATGTTCCAGAACCACACACTACCAGTCCTTCATGAACCTGGTCTATGATGTTCCACAACCACACACTACCAGTCCTTCATGAACCTGGTCTATGATGATCCAGAACCACACACTACCAGTCCTTCATGAACCTGGTCTATGATGTTCCACAACCACACACTACCAGCCCTTAATGTACCCGGAATATGATGTTCCACAACCAGACACTACCAGCCTTTAATGTACCTAGGTTATAATGTTCCATAACCACACACTCCCAGCCCTTAATGTAATGTATCTGGTCTATGATCTTCCAGAACCCCACACTCCCAGTCCTTCATGAAACGGGGTCTAAACGGTCCCAGTAGTCCGTCATTATATATATTGGTCGAACACTTTATGATGAAGCCTGTACCGGACTGTGAATCAAAAAATACTTAACACTTCATCAGTTGATTACGTTCCGGCCTTTCACGGACAGTGTTTGGCTCAGTTCCTATGTGGTCATCGCATCTCTTCGAGAAAAAAAAGTTATTTCTGCTGATCCTGATTCTAATCGCGCACTTCACTAGGGCTTCACTCACATGCTTCAAATGCAAATAATTTCCAATAGAACTAGAACTCCTAACCCAACTTATTCTAGGCATAACTAGACTCAGAATTATACATATATGAAACATATTATTATTAATTTGTATCGAAGAAAACACTTTTGTTGGTTATATAATGGGTTAAAAACGACGAATGAATCTTAGGGGACGGCCCCAGCTTGGACGAGTAGAGCTTGGGGATGGGTTGGGACGGCCCCAGCTTGGACGAGTAGAGCTTGGGGATGGGTTGGGACGGCCCCAGCTTGGACGAGTAGAGCTTGGGGATGGGTTGGGACGGCCCCAGCTTGGACGAGTAGAGCTTGGGGATGGGTTGGGACGGCCCCAGCTTGGACGAGTAGAGCTTGGGGATGGGTTGGGACGGCCCCAGCTTGGACGAGTGGAGCTTGAGGATGGGTTGGGACGGCCCCAGCTTGGACGAGTAGAGCTTGGGGATGGGTTGGGACGGCCCCAGCTTGGACGAGTGGAGCTTGGGGATGGGTTGGGACGGCCCCAGCTTGGACGAGTGGAGCTTGGGGATGGGTTGGGACGGCCCCAGCTTGGAAGAGTGGAGCTTGGGGATGGGTTGGGACGGTCCCAGCTTGGACGAGTGGAGCTTGAGGATGGGTTGGGACGACCCCAGCTTGGACGAGTGGAGCTTGAGGATGGGTTGGGACGACCCCAGCTTGGACGAGTGGAGCTTGAGGATGGGTTGGGACGGCCCCAGCTTGGACGAGTGGAGCTTGAGGATGGGTTTAAGCATCCCATGCCGACACGCAACTCCTTATAGTTGTGTGTATAAATACACCTAGTGTAGGTAAGGTTAGATTTTACCTAGTGGTAATTATCTGTATGTGCTGTGTGTGAAAGCACTGGAAGAAGTGCGACCAGAACACAGGAGCTGAACAAAGCACTGTTCTCGAGGACTGTCCTCAGGTAACCGGTTGCGAGCCATGTGAAGTAACTCACTTGGAGGAAGGTCATAGGGGCCTGATAGCTGAGTGGACAGCGCCTGGGACTCGTAATCCTAGGGACCGGGGATCGATCCCCGGCGATGGCAGAAACAAATGGGCAGAGTTTCTTTCACCCTGATGCACCTGTTCATTTAGCAGTAACTAGGTGCCTGGGAGTTAGAAAGCTCTCATGGACTGCTTCCTAGGTGTGTGTGTGTGAGTGAACAAAACAAAATATTGATTGACAGTTAAGATTTGGGCCGAAAGAGCCACAGTTCAACCCTCGCAAGCACAACTAGGTGAATACATATATAAATAGTGTCTGTGAGGCGGTTGTCTTAACCAAAAAAAATTCGAGCAATAAATGAAGCTGCCAACAATATTCCGTTCAAAGATACAAATGACAGACAAACCCACCAGGATGTGTAGGAGTGTGCTGGAGAGATGAGCAAGGTGAGAAGAGCAGCCCAGTCGAGAGCCAGAACCCGGTGGTGGCGCGGGTGGAGGTGGTGGCGCAGGTGCTGCGTCTGGCGTGGCTGGTGTGGCTGGCTTGGCTGGCGTGGCTGGCGTGGCTGGTGTGGCTGGCGTGGCTGGTGTGGCTGGCGTGGCTGGCGTGGCTGGCGTGGCTGGCGTGGCTGGCGTGGCTGGCGTGGCTGGTGTGGCTGGCGTGGCTGGTGTGGCTGGCGTGGCTGGTGTGGCTGGCGTGGCTGGCGCTCCACCAGTGCTGAAGGAAGCTCAGTAGGAGCGTCAGACTGCCACTTGGGTAGTTACCACAGGAAGTGAACTAAAGGTCAAAATTTCGTAGTTCACAGTCAGCGTGTCACGAGAAGCTCGCATGCCTCAACGCCTGGTTTGTTTACTGTAAAGTATAAATATGAATTCAGTACATATATATTTATATATATATATATATATATATATATATATATATATATATATATATATATATATATATATATGTACTGAATTATATATATATAAATTTATATATATGTATATATGTTATATATATATAAATTTATATATTATTTATATATATATAAAATTATATATATATAAATTATATATATATGTATATATATATATATATATATATATATATATATATATATATATATATATATATATATATATATATATATATATATATATATATATATATATATACCAGCTGTACCGGCCACGTGTTGCTGTGGCTCAGCAACGTGTGAGCATCCCCCGTCCTCCCCACCATTCCCCTCTCCCCCATCCCTTCGTACTTGCCACCATTCCGTCCTCCACGTCCCCTCGTCCTCCCCACCATTCCCCTCTCCCCCATCCCTTCGTACTTGCCACCATTCCGTCCTCCACGTCCCCTCGTCATCCCCACCATTTCCTTTGTTATGAAATTTATTCACAACAAAGTCAACAAACACCACATCATCTTAGGAAGTGACTTCAACATTGACCTTTGTCAGCAAAATAACCCAAAAGTCGACTACTTCTTTAACAGCATGAACTACTGGATGCTAATCACCAAGATAACGAAGCCCACTCGCATCACCTGAACATCCGCTACAACTTGGACTAACATAACAGCTTCCCCCCTTCCCCCCTTCCCCCCCTTCAGGTAAAATCCCCGTCAGAACCACTGCTGACTGTCCGACCTTCCACTCAGCAAACACGGTCATAACACCCTCGGATAGCAATAAACTAACCTTTAGACTTCACAGCAAAGCAGCAATAGGTAATCTCATCTCAGAACTCCACAATATAAACTGGGAATCTGAGTTTTATAATACACGGGATATAAATTCATTAGGTAACATTTTCCTTTCCAAACCTCTAAGCCTCTACAACAGTCACTGTTCTCTCTTCACCAAGCAAATAACCGCCAAAAGACTAAACGACCCCTGGGTCACAAGAGGCATACTCAAAGCAATCAACTATAAACATGATTTTGAAAAAAAATAATAAGGATTGGCTTAGTTACAATAGAATTAGTTAAAAGATACTCATCAATGCTTACCATATAATAAGAGTCAAACATTTCTATTATGAAAATAGATTCAAAGAAGCAAAAGGGAATATAAAAAGCACATGGAAAGCCATCTCTAACATGCTAAGATCTAAACAACAATCACACAACAAGCAGATACAACTCGCCGAGGCGGGTTACACACCTGCAACACACTTAGAAACGGCAACTGAATTTAATACCTTGTTGACCAGACCACACACTAGAAATTGAAGGGACGACGACGTTTCGGTCCGTCCTGGACCATTCTCAAGTCGATTGTTGAGACTTGAGAATGGTCCAGGACGGACCGAAACGTCGTCGTCCCTTCAATTTCTAGTGTGTGGTCTGGTCAACATACTTCAGCCACGTTATTGTGACTCATCGCCTTTAATACCTTCTTTTCATCAGTTGGTGCTGACCGTGCCAGAAAATTCCCAGAGACCCACACACATGTTACTACATATCTCACCGGCAGCTGTCCAAACTGGAATTTTCAACTTTCCCCTGACTACTACTGAAGCTAACAGGAATTAGTGATCCTTGCCCACGTGAAAACGTTTCTTATTAAGACTACTCATAGTCCAGTCGATAGAGCTTTGGCCTCACACGCTTGGGGGTCCACAGTTCCAGTCTCCTAAAGCCCAGGTGAATAGAATGTTGATTTCCACTGAAGTGTAGAGGACAATTTATTAATGCCAGTTCATAAACGAGGCGAGACAGCTGGCATAAACAATTACTGAACAATATCAAATCTACCGATACTAAAAAAAATTTGAAAACATTATTTCCAAAAGGTCTACTCTTATCTTGTATAATTCAACATTTTAAGTCCCTGCCAGTTTGGCTTCCGTTCTCAAAAGCGCAGCAATTATTAGTCTGCTTCATATAACCTACACTGCCCTTGACAAAAATCAGTTCCCAAATTGGCTTCTTCATTAACCTGAGAAAGGCCTTTGACACTGTAAACCATAAACACCTCTTGACCTTCATCACTACGATCCCGGGGCCGGGCTCTGAAATATATTCGATCACATCTTAGTGCCAGACACCGATATGTAGTCAAGATAACCTTCTACACTATATCACTATCTATAGGAGTGGCACAGGGCAGCATCTTAGAACCCCCCTCTTATTTCTAACATATATCAATGACAAGCAGAATTTCTCTAATATTCTTAAACCAATACTATTTGCTGACGATACTGCCTTCGTCTAGTCAGACCCCAACCCTTACACACTAAATTATATTGTAAATAATGAATTAAATAAAAAGTTCATTCATGGATGTCAACCAACAAGGTCATACTAAGCATGGAAAAGATCTGCTACATTTTATTTGGCAGTAAACTATCATACCAAATTCATCTTCAGACAATGTTAACATTAGCAGTAAAAATAATGAAAGGTTCCTCGGCCTATACATAGACAGAAAACTCAACTTCAGTACTCACATACAACACATAGCTAAAAAGTCTCAAAAACTGTCGGTATACTTTCTAAAATAGAATACTTCACACTGCTCTCTCTGGGGAGCAGAGTTCCCCACTCTGCTCTATCTCGCATACAGTATCTGTGTATGGGGTTCAACCGCTGCCAACTACTTCAAGCCCATCATCACCCAGCAAAAATCTTCTATCAGAACAGTAACAAACTCTGTCTTCAGACAACACTCAGCCCCTCCGTTTAAGTCCCTTAACATACTAAGCATACACTCACTCTACACATTCTCTTGTGCTATTTAAATGTAAAAAAACATGTTCCTAAATACTAATACTGATCTGAACCTCTTTCTAAATAGATGTAATAGAACCCATGAGCACCACACCAGAAATAAATATCTCCTTGATCACCTCAGAGTCAGACTAAATCTGTGCAAACACTCCATGCAAATATAAGGATCCAGTCTTTGGAACTCGCTTCTTAATGAATTACAAAATTGTCCAACCTATGCTTTATTCAAAAGAAAAACTAAAAAGTGCCAACTTTAATACTCATACTTTCCTAACTTGTACTTTAAACTCACACTGCATCTTGTACAACCCACGTCCCCCAATATTAGTACTGAAGACATGGGAACATCACCAATATAATCAATACAATTAATTTTTATTGTAGTTATTATGTTGAATGTATGTACATTCTTACAAGATTGTTAGTAATCTTGTATATATAAAAAAAATGAAATCAAATTCAACTACAGTGTTCCTTTTAATTACCTTTATTTTTATCTGTTAGATTAAAAACCTGCTCGAAACGCTATTCGTGTTAGTGGCTTTGCAAGAATGTAAGAACATCAATGTTATATACTCTCTCAACTCAATGTACCTTCTTGTTCATAAATAAATCAATAAATCAGGAATAATTAGTTTAGTTTCTCCCGGAAAAAGAATATGGTTTTCTTTAAAACATTCTCCAATTCATCTTAGGATAAACTATTATATTATCCAACATATTCTCTAAGATTTGCCAACCTGTGTGGCTACTTTAATTAAATAATGAATTATAACATCATAGTTCTGAACATTCTACTAAACAATCTGTTCGACTGCAATATAATTACATTTCTAGCTATTGTTCATTACTCCAGAAGCCTAAAATCTTCCATTTGCATGTAAATTGGATACCCCAAGACCATGGCGGCCACAGCTTACCTGAGTTTACCTGAGAGCTACTAATACTAGTGGCCTCAACGAGGACAGGAAGCCGGCGGCTGGTCAAAGGTCACCAGTAGACGAAACACTTAAGCGCTGTTAAGTAACAACTGCCACAGCTTCACTCAAACTGACACTCGATACTGATTGATTTATCACGTTGGCGGCGTCACTCTGACGCTCCTCTTGATACGTCAGATGTTCCTTGGGCCCACAGCTGCTCCTTGGGCCCACAGCTGCTCGCTGGGCCCACAGCTGCTCCTTGGGCCCACAGCTGCTCCTTGAGCCCACAGCTGCTCCTTGGGCCCACAGCTGCTCCTTGGGCCCACAGCTGCTCCTTGAGCCCACAGCTGCTCCTTGGGCCCACAGCTGCTCCTTGAGCCCACAGCTGCTCCTTGAGCCCACAGCTGCTCCTTGGGCCCACAGCTGCTCCTTGAGCCCACAGCTGCTCCTTGAGCCAACAGCGACGCACAGCTGCTCCTTGAGCCCACAAATGATGAAGCATCCCCAGGAGGCAGCTAAGTAAACAGAGACCCAAATGTAATTGAAACTAGCGTCTAGACCAGGCCATAATACCCCATGTCGTCTTCACTAAGGTGTTGCTCCCTGGAGGAGGTGTGTTGCCAGACCTCAGTTGTTGACACCTCGACAAGTTTTCCCCATTTATTCTGCTACCGTGCACACCAACACGGAGTCCTTGGTGGTCAGTGAGAACAACAGCGCACCTGTGAGGAGTAACCAGGCTAACACCAGTAGTAGTGCAGCTGTCTCCCCCCTCGGGGGCCGCTAGGGGAGTAGTGCAGCTGTCTCCCCCTCGGGGGCCGCTAGGGAAGTAGTGCAGCTGTCTCCCCCTCGGGGGCCGCTAGGGGAGTAGTGCAGCTGTCTCCCCCTCGGGGGCCGCTAGGGGAGTAGTGCAGCTGTCTCCCCCCTCGGGGGCCGCTAGGGGTGTAGTGCAGCTGTCTCCCCCCTCGGGGCCGCTGGGGAGTAGTGCAGCTGTCTCCCCCCTCGGGGGCCGCTAGGGGAGTAGTGCAGCTGTCTCCCCCCTCGGGGGCCGCTAGGGGAGTAGTGCAGCTGTCTCCCCCCTCGGGGGCCGCTAGGGGAGTAGTGCAGCTGTCTCCCCCTCGGGGG